GTGGCATACCAAATACTACTGAAGCCATGCAGCAGGTAGTTTGTTGAATTTTGTATACCCCATCAACTCTGTTTGTTCTTTGTTCACGTATTCACCATCGGTTTTTTGCTAGTAAACAACTGGTGTTTCACCCAAACCCGACATTGCTCTAATTGGTGACATGAAGCATAATGACATGCATAAGAACATTAACAATCAAGTTCACAGTGCTAATCTTTCACCTTCAAAAACAAGGCGGGCATTGTGATCCTTTTTTGAATTGAGTAGCATATAGTCAAGGAAAATTAATAGCGATTAATCGCCTTGGATTACAAGTGGACTGTTTCAGGTAATACGTTTCCGAGCTAATACTCGCAGAGATACAAATGTGATATTTGACCGTAGATACACAACCTGAGTTACATGGTCAACAGTCAACCCTTGCACACATCAAGTGGGTCAACTCAAACACAGCATTTTAAACGAAGTTGTTACGTACTCACAAAATGCAAAATGACCAAATCAAGTATGAACTTTTAGTATTACGTTCTCTATGGTTCTGTGCAAATTTCTCGCTAATGACGGTACAATACGGTACACCCTAACCACCCATCAAGCTACCTTTTCTAACTCCTTTACCATTTGATCTCATACAGACACCGGGATTCTGTTTCCTGACTCCGGTCAACCACAATTCATCGGTCGGTACGCGATCAGTGTGAACCGTCCCATTGATATATACGCACTGCAAGAATCATTCGCCCGATTTAGTAATGTGACCCAGGTAGAGTCCTGGGCATTTTGGGTCTCGCGTGGTGCAATGAGTGAGATTTTGTTTCATTCCGTGCAGCAAAACTTGAGTCTGTTTCAAAGGAAACAATTGCTGGTCTACGACGGGACGGCAGATCCAGATCGATGCTGGACTATGTGCTATCCGAATGTGGATGGACGGACCAGGTGTGGTTATGACAGTCAGAATCGGGAAGTCTACTGTGTCAAGGTCGATCTGAAAGATGCTGATTTACGCGCACTCGGACGTATTCGGGCAGAGGTTGGTGCCGTATGGGATGACGTAGGTACTGAACAGGTGAGGCTGGCTATTCTTTATTGTACATAAATTGTGTTCATTTTGCTTAAATACTTTTCAAAGGAGACCTTTGGACTGCTAGTTGTTGCTTGCATGAGTATGTCATGTTTGATTTAGTTCTCATGGAGTTGGTAAGGCATTTTTCGCCTGCATATGAATCTAAAGGTGCTGTCTTGACCCTCAGAAGCCAGTTTTGAAAGACAGTCCTGAATTCTTCAAGTGCAAGATTCCATTCGCTAGCTTAAATAATTAGTATATATACATGGATTTTCACATAGAGCCTTATAAATCTACTCATTCTGTTACGGAGTTTGGTCAACTCGTAACCAATATTCGAAAGCGGTGGTTGTCACCAACACGAAATGTGACCGTACTTCCCTTCTCCTTCTTTGACTTCATGGAATACTTTCCACTCTGTTTTCACTTAGCCACAGTTTCCCGGTGTGCATAATAATTAAATCTCTTTCATGAAAGTAATGGAGGATTTGTTTCAGTTTCAAAGAGGAAATTCGTCGTGCACAGAGCAAACGAAGCGTGAAATAAAAAGCTAGGAAGCACGGGGCAGCTGTTTCGAACTGATTAGGTCTCATCAGCAGTGCGAATCCACCGACCCACCTGGGGATACAACCCGGGACCTCACACGTAGAATGGAAGCTTGCTACCCACTCGGCCACCGAGTAACTAATCGGACCGTTTTTCATTTTCCACTTACACGATATGGCACAACCAATCTTTGCTCACAAAACTGAAATTCGTCGTATATGTAGCAAATAAACCGTGCTTGCGTTCTACCTGTGAGGTCCAGAGTTCGATTCCCAGTTGGGTCGATGGATTCGCACTGCAGATGAAACCCAACCAGGTCGAAACAGCTGTCCAATTCTTCCTAGCTTTTCATTCCACGCTTCATTTGCTATATATATGACGAATTTCCTCTTTGAAATTAAACCTCTCGTTGATGTGAGTCTGGTTTACAAGAATATCTATCTTATTTATGGAAAGCTGGTAACCTGCTGCAAAGTAATTCTTGCTTGCCAATCCAAAAAAGGTTGTATTACTCGTTCAATAAAATCCTTGAAAACTGTCCAAGGGATAATACAGTGCCTAAATAAGCACTTAGAGAGTTATCTCAGGCATACGAGCTTTAAAATCGTTTAACTTTACGCTTGGAATTTGCGTCAAGTTAACCGAAATAAAACGGAAGTCTCAAACAAGCTAGAATATGTTTCGTCTGTCTGCTGCATAGATTTTACTACCTTCTTCGGTCTTGTTCTAAAACCCTCTGCTTTTTCTGTTCACGCACTAGGAATAAAGTTTAACCACTAGTTCATTTGATCCAATAAGAGAGCTATGTTTGGTTTATCCTCACTGATCCTGGAAGCGCAGTCATGGAGTAACCTAATACAAAAGTAGTAAGAAAATTTATTTAATAAACTAGCTCAGAAAATATTCAAATTCAAATTTTTATTATGGGAAAAAACTTACAAAGACTTCGCTTATCAAATCCCATAGGGTGTTTACACTTTGGTTCGGAACACGATTCACAAGATCACAGTTAGTCCATGAAAGTAAAATAGTAAAGTAATGTTTTTGACGAGCACAGGAGAATATATTATGTAGTTGGGTGTTGAAACATAATGTTTGCCAGAGCATCATCAATCTGACGCTTGAAAGATACTAATGTTGGCGCACAGACCACGCGAGGTGGTAGAGAGTTCCATTTGATGCACACTGACTGCAAATGAATGGCATCTGCAGTCGAGACGGCTCTTTTGGTGTGCCAACTTCAGTAGATGCCCTCTGAGATGAACATCGGTTGATAGAACCAAAAGAGTTCTACATGGATGGCTGGGCTGTTGGAAAATCCGATATAGTAAGATCATATCGCCTCCGATTTGACGATATTGGGACGAGTATAGCCCCAAGAGCTGTAATCTTTCGCCATAGGTCTTGGAATGTAGACCGTTGACGATCTTGGTAGCCATTCTCTGTGGATGTTCAAGTGCCTTCTTATCTCGCTGCAGCCATTGGTTCCAGGCCCGAATTGAGTACTCGGTGTATGGACAGATATATGTTGCTAACAGAAGTGGAAACAAAACCGGCTCAAACGATCCAAACACACGCTTGAGCAATCCAACCTGTTTTACCGCCATGGATGATGCCGTGAAACAGTTTGTGGAGCAAATCAAGTCTGCACGAATGACCACTCCCAGATCCTTCTCGGGTGAAGCATGAGGCAGAGTTTCGTGTCCGAGAGTGTAGGAATAACGACCAGGGTGACGTAGTGATAAAACTTTACATTTTGTAACGTTGAATTCCATATCATTGGAGACAGACCATCTGTGATCTTCGTCAAGGGCATTCTGGAGATCAAATGAATCTTCTGGTTTTGTTATTGTCC